ATGGAGGGACCCCTGCCAGCTCCCATCCCTTGTCTGCTCCCTTGGTCCTGCAACTTCCCTGACCCCTGCCCACTCCTCCAGCTCCTTGCTACACTGAACTACATAAACAGCTTTAACGGGGGACTGAAGCTGTCATGTACCATCCGCCTCCAGCCCTCAACAGCTCACCAAAGCTCCTTAAGCGGTCTTCCAGCTCAAGTAATTGCCCACACTTACCATACTTCATCACAGGTTAGGACGGCTCTCAAGACTTCCCAAGTACATGCATGTGGCACTGTTGGCCATCTGTTTTTGCTGATGTTAAAGACAGTAGACTTAGGCTTTTTTTCTCTCTTTTTTCTTTCAGGTTTCAAGCGGCTATCTGGTCGTGGTTTTTGTTTATGTGACAGAATATGTTGGCATTAAAGTTCGAACATGGGCATCTATGCATGTCCATGCTTTTTTTGCTTTGGGCGTTATGGTAGTGGCACTGGTGGGATTTTTAGTACGGACATGGTGGGTCTATCAGATATATCTTTCCATAACAACTCTTCCCTTTGTCTTGTGCTGCTGGATGCTTCCAGAGACGCCCTTCTGGCTACTATCAGTGGGGAGATATGAAGAAGCACAAAAAGTAATTAATATAATGGCGAGATGGAATAAAGTAAGCACTCCTTGTAAAATTTCTGAACTGTGTTCAATCCAACAAGATGCTCTAGTCAGTAGCAGAACGGGTGATAATGACGTTTCTACAACGAAGAAGCACAACATCTTAGATCTGTTTTGTAATAGGTACATTGCAAGAAGGACCATTACAGTCTGGCTGATTTGGTTCACTGGGAGTTTAGGATACTATGTATTCTCCCTGAGTTCCGTCAATCTGGGAGGCAATGAATATTTAAATCTATTTCTCATAGGTAAATATTTGCTGTATTTTATCCTGCTTATGACAGAATTAGAACATATAATTTTTAAATGTCTAGCAATCTGAGGGCTATTTTTCTGACTCTAGTTATTTAAAAAAAATTAAAGTATGTTCAGATCCCTTACCTCTTCTGCCAGTATCTGTACTGTACAACTGTATTTTCCCATTTTTAATTGCTTATTTCTCCCCTTATATTTTGTGAAACACCCATGCTAATAGTAGGGAAGACTGTCCAAAAGAGGGAAAACTATGCAAATCATGACATGCTGTCAGTTATGCTATCAGTTATGCTATCAGTTATAAAGTGAACAAACTGCTTTTTCCAAAATCATAGTCATAGTAAAACTAAATCATACTGGTGACTTTATTATGTATATAATTTTCTGAAAAGCTTGTAAGTTTGTCAGAAGTGCACATTTTAAATGTAATGGGCAGTGTTTTTTTAACTTAGTCCATGCATCTGCAGTGTAGTATGATAAGCCAATTATGTGAGAAAAAATTGGTCAGTACATTTAGGGCCCTATTAAAAGCAATTAAAAGATTCCCATTGACTTCAGTGTACCTTGCATCTGGTCCATATACCCCAGTCCAGTAAATAATTTAAGCACATGCCTAAATTTAATGCACCTCTGTAGTCCTAGTAAAGTCAATATGGGCTCAAAGTTAATTTGTGTGCTTAAGCCTGTTGCTGCTCTAGTGAATTAATTTTATATTGCCAAATATTGTTGCACATTAGTAGTTTGACTATTCTGTTGAAAGCAGAATACTAATATGGTTGACATATCTGTTGTGATAGATTTTCAATCACAAATATCTGCCTGATGAAAGCAGAAGCCTCAGCCTGCTGCTTCCTATAATTTTCCTGACCACTTACAGGCAGGTGGAACTACAGAAGCCTGACTCCTTGGTGCACTTCCTTTCTCTCATTACCATGGTTTAAGTCAGTATAAACCCTTTCACTGACTTAGCACATGCGACTTAACTATATTTAAAATGAGTTCAACCTTTAGATTAAAGGAATGCCCATAACAAGCAAAACAGGTTTAGTAAAATAATATGTAGTCAAGCTTTCATGGCTTGAAATTAAATATGTTTTATTCTGACAGGTGTTGTGGAACTTCCTTCATATGTCATTGCCTGTATTGGGATGGACAAATTAGGAAGAAGAAACACCTTGATTCCATCTCTTATATCCAGTGCGTTGATCTGTGTTTTGATTATGTTGATTCCTCAGGTTAGTCATTTGTCATTTCAGATGTTCCTGTATTATTGTATGTAATCTCAGGCTTGTTAATGCTATGTCTGGATCTGAAGTGTGTAGATAATTAAATACTATTTAGAAATGAAACTTCAGTCCTTTAAGGAAGACTTGTTTGTTTTTATTATATTCTTTGTTTCTGTTAAAGGGTCATACTAGCATTCTGTAGTTGTGTGCAAAGTGTTCTCAACACTTGATTAGACAGGGGTGAAAATAAGCTGCTTTGTAAGCAAAATCATAGATGTTGACTTCTGGTAACTTATAAGGAAAATAAACAATGAATGTTGCTCAGTGTTTAACAATGGAAAAGAAGACAATGAAGTCACGTTTGGAACAGTTGAGATTTTTGGTGCCTTAAATATCTATATTCTCTTTTAACAGGATTTTAATGTATTAATTATCTTAGCAAATATGGCTGGAAAGTTCACCATAGGTGTTGCATTTGGCCTTATTTACCTATACACAGCAGAACTCTATCCAACGATTGTACGGTAAGCACTTTAAAATAATTTGTCATGCAATTCTAAATATTTTTTTTTCCATTTCTTTAATTTGTTCTGGTCTAGAAGCCAGATCCAGCACCCACTGAAGTCAATAGCAATGCTTCAAGTAACTTCCAGTTGGACAGAATTAGTTCCTTTTCTGTTTATGGAATTTCTTATATTTGACACTGCAGTAAAGTGTTTCCCATTCTTGTTTATATATGCTGATTTAATTAAAGTAATAGAAAAATTCTCAGTACTTTCTGAGGGTTGATGGAGATAGCCGGTCATTTCCTAGCATCTGATGAAGTAAATTGTTGGCAACAAAAGCTCATGCCTCTCTCAACCAGCTAGTTTCTGAGGCAGTGGTTCTGAACCTTTTTGGATTTAAGGTGCCTGTGACAGAGGGCAATCTCCCTAGGCCCAGTCACAGTAGTGGCCTGCTCGCCTGTCTTTGGGCAAGCCGCCTGCCTTACTATCCTGCCATGCCTTGTTTTCAAGTAATTCAGATGTTATTTAGGCAGGAGGCTGCCCTTCGAGTGCCCTGATGACAAAGGTTGGTAAACACAAGAGTCTGACCTTCCCTTATCATGTCCCATGCCTCACAGATGTTTCTGTGAGTTGTGCTATGCTCTGGCTTGAGGCTGGGCCCAACTCAGCTCAGTGTTAGGCCTCTCTCATACTGCCCTGTTCAAGGGCCTCACACGTACCATCCCCCTCTCACTGTAGCCTCTACCACTCTCCCCTCTCTCACTGGGCCTCTTTCACTTATGCCCCTTACTGGGCCAACTCACCCTGCCCTGCTCTCTTGAGTGACCACGTGGGCCATCAGGCTTGACTCTGCACTGCTCGGCCAGCCCTGGCACAGCCTTTTGGGCCTCTCCTGTGACCTTCATCTGAACAGTGGCTGGGCAATTAGCAAAACACTAGGCTAACCCTGCCCCTGGCTCCTCACTGAGCAATACCACCCACTAGTTCACAATTTTGGAGCTGGTGACTCACTCCTTTCACTTGTGGCTCTATCTCTATGCTGCCTCACATGGCCTCTGGCCCACTTGCTGTCTCAGGCACCCGAAGGCTTACCTGGACCTCACTGTCCCTTTCTCCCAAGGCCTCAACACTCACCCCTCAGCAAGAGCCTCAACTCTCACCCCCCAGCAAGGGCCTCAACTCTCACCCCCCATCTTGGAGCTCAGGGTCTTATACCCCCAACGGGCTCAGGTGCCTCCCATGGGTGAGCCTGGCCCCACTGTCCACACTGGGCTCAGGTGCCCCTCACTGGGCTTGCCTGGCCCTACTCCCCTCCAATCTTAATATAACCCACCTCATGGTGGGGGCTGGGGTTTTCAGGTGCCCAGACTTGCCTTTCACCAGGGAGGTAACTGGCTTGGCATTTCTTGGAGACTCCCTCACCACAGAGAGTCCCACCAGGCCACCCTTCCCTGGCAGGGTGCAGTTTCAGGTCATGCCTAGGACCAGGAGCCTCCTGCCATCTCCATAGCTCCTGCCCTTACCTCCAAGATGTTACCTGAGCAGCAGCTCAGCTGGGTGTTGTTATTCCTTCAGTTGTTTGCAGCAATCTGTTGCCCCAACCCTGAGAGCCAGGATTTTAAAATGGCCGCCTCATCAGGGCTGGCCTGCACCTGTCTGCTGCCTGCTCTCCTCCTTAAAGTGGCAGACACCGGAGATGCTTTGCCACCCACCTTTCCCCTTAAACTGGTTCTTGTGGCTTTTCCCTGCTGCTCCTAAGGCAGGCTCACTCCGAGCCTGCAAGAACCTTTAAGTGGCAAGCACCCTGCCGGTGCTCCACCACAGTACCCCTCACTAGGCTCAAGGCACCCCTCTGTCCATAAGGATCAGCCAGGCAGAAACAAGCCTATGCCTGCACTTACTTACTTATCTCCTCACACCTTGGGGCACTCTTCAGAGGATCTGGTGGTGCTCTGGGGTCCACAGCACCTTGGCTGACAATCACGGCTCTAAGGTCCTGCTTGAGTGGGTGGGTGGAGTAGATGACCTCATTAGGTCCCTTCCAGTCCTACTTTCCTATGATTCCTATAATAAGGTGTCACCTTGGCCTAACTCCTGCCTGAAAGTTCCTAGTTATTCATCTTATAATTCATATTGAATGCTTAGTGTACTTTCAGTTGTATTTAAAGAAGCAAGCAGAGGTAACAGTAAGATGGAGCTTCACTCAGTTGAAATGATAAGCATCTCTTTACCTTTAGTTATTTAATGTATTTGTTATTCCTCTAAATATTTATTACTCTAATCAGAGCTATGTCCTGTTGTCTTATGTACAGGTCACTTGCAGTTGGAAGTGGGAGCATGATGTGCCGTGTTGGGAGTGTGGTTGCTCCTTTTTGTGTTTACCTGACAAGTATCTGGATCTTCATGCCACTGGCAAGTGTTTTTATTTTGGTAGTCAAATATTTTTTGGGGGTGGGGAGGGAAGATTTATTAATTGTACTAGGAATTTAACGTTGAAGTATAGCTATTTTTAAAAAAAGGAAACTGAGTCAATTGCTCGCATTCTTAATTCGGAATATCAGCGTTTAGTAGCTATATGTTTGTTAAGAATATTAATCTAAACTCAAAAGTGTGACTAAAGTACTGAAATCTTCCAAACAGTTCCTGAACTGTATCAGAAACTTAAATAAGACAAGCATGTTTTGTATGCATAGATCTCACTATAAAATTGGTAGAACTATTCAATAAAAATAAGTACTGTATCATTCATGTAACTCCGAGGAACTTTTTAATTACTTATCTACATGCTCCGTGACTCCTCAGACTACTGAGGTCCTTAGTCACTTTCTCTATTTGGCTCCACCTCTTTCTGTCAAAAGAAACAGCTTTCTCCACCTCTTTTTCCACTTCCAGAAATTCACATTAAGAGCTCTTAAGCCTTTTAGCCTTCACCTTCTCCTTGCTCAACCATGGGGATTAACACTATTGGAATAACTCTTTAAGAGATACTGTCTTCTGTGTCTATCTGTCTTTCAACATCACAAGCACAGACCCTGTGTGGCAGGGAACCAAGGGCTCCTGTTATGTTAAGGGAGAGATTGCAGCAGAAAGAGCCCCAGGTAGTTGAACAGGGGCTAGCCACAGGAGGGAAGACACAGTAAGATGCCCATTAAGGTGAAGGGACACACCTACATCTGGTCAAAAGAACACCTGACCAGGAAGGGGAGCCTGGGGCACATGAACCTGGGTTCCTGCAGCATGAGGGCAATGCAGCCTGGAGCCCTGCTGGGAGGGAAGCTCCTGCCAGCTCAGACTGGTGAAGAGAGGGCGCTGCAGGCCATGGCAGCTACTCCCAGGGCAGAGGGAGCCAGAGAATGAGAAGGTGGCCTGGCAGCAGTATGACAACCCAGAGGAGGATATTTTGAGTGTATAGTGGCTGCTTGTGTTTTTTCATTCTAGTTTTAAACCAGAGGACTGGGTGTGGCTAATAGGAGAAGATTGGAGGCCACAGAGGTGCTGCAGGGCTCTGAACCAAGAGCAGCTTTGGCCTGGGTCAGGTTGTCAGTGGGGCTGAGCTGAACCAGGAGCAGCCTTGTCCTGGGTCAGGGATGCCAGGGGATTGAGCCGAACCAAGATCAGCCTTGCCCTGGGCCAGGGATGGCAGGGGGACTGAGACAAGGCATAAGACAAGACCAAAGGGCCCAGACACCAAGAAGGCTGAGGCCCAGACAGCTGGGCCCAAATCACTGGGACAGGGCTGGAAGCCTGCAATCAGAGACAAGGACAGCTAAAGCCAAGAGGGCTGAGGCCTCTAGACAAGAACTGAACTGTGGACAGAGTAATATGTGCGAGGCCTGGACATGGCTGTAGGGGAAGAGGAGGCCACAGTTAAAAGCCCTAAAACTTAAGGGGCAATTGGGCCATAGGTAGTGACCACTGGCTCACAGTGCTGGATAGGAACTAATAGGTCCACTAGGGTGTGAGAGATATCCATGAAGAACTGCATGGTTTTGGCTAGTGGGCAAAGGGCCCAGTGATCACAAGAAATGAGTCGAAGCACCAGCGAGGGCATGCTGGGATTCAGGGGCTGCCTCCCTATTCATATAAAGAAACATCAAGGTGAGATAAACACAGGTGTTATATAGAGAACTGGGAGTGCAGGATTAGGGTAGCTCTGGGGGAAACCAAGACTGCCCCAGGGCATGTCCTGCTACACCTTGTCATTTTCTACATTTACTATACTTGGTTCTTGATACATCTCCCACAATTCCTTATTATATCTCCTTCTCTGCATATCATTCACAATTATTAGTTAAAAAATTGTACAAATACTTTATTTTCAAATATATGTAGTTGTCTTTCTTCCTTCTTAGCACTTGTCCAGATATTACTTCCATATATCAAATTAGGCCTTATGAGGAGTTTGTATTGTGGTCTTTCTCAGCAGTTGATTGGAACTAAAAATTCTCTGTGGAAAAAAGTGACAGGTATTCCTGTCACATAATTTCTTACCTCATCAAATTGTTGCTAGCAATCAATACCCCTTGGTACTGGCAACAGGTCATTAAGCAACTTTGTTCAAAATCTTTATGTTGACCATCAGCAACTTTGTTCAAAATCTTTACATTGGCTTACAATCAAGTATTTGGTTTTATCTGCTTTGATCTTAAGTCTCTCTTTCTTGTCTCATCCTTCATGTCACCAGCCTTTTCTTCTCTCCTTGCAGCAGCCAAGTTGGCATATCCAAAAAAACAGTTAAATTCACCTCATATTGAGAAATTCACAATGAATTTACATTTTTTCCGCAACCATGCTTGAGAGTACCAAAAATACCACTCCCTGTCTTAATTCTGTCTGGATGCCATTTGGGGCAAATATTATACTTTTTGAATTGCAAACACACTACAGTTTTAATACTTTTATCAGGTATTCCAGATTCTTTCATTTGGTCCCAATGGCATTCTTGTGCTATACAATTACATATTTTTTAAAAATCTCATTAGGTGTCTTATTCCTAAAAAGAGCATGTTTCACTTAATTAGGCTGAAGTTACACATTATTCTTAGACTATACCAAAGGCACTTAAAAACCATGAGCATCCACACATTAAAGCTTGTTAATTCATGCTAAGTGTCCCCTGAAGATCTCAGTTATGCTACTTCAGGTGAGGGTTAACTCTGGGACTTGCCACCTAGCTTGTGTTATGGTAACTTCAGGCTGCTCCACAGGGATAAAATGGGCAATTTACAACCCTCCAGCATCCCAGGATGCACCATTTCTAGCCCCCACTCCCACCCAGAGCAGGGATAGAGCCCAGGCATCCGGACTCCTAGCCACGTCCCTGCTCACCAGCCCTCTAGTGGCAAGTCAGAGCTGTGCAGGCAAGAAATGGTATTAACCCTTAATGTGTGACTGCTTATAGCAAGGTCTAACTATGGGCATGTGTAGACAAAATGGGGGCCCTAAATTGAAGTGGTGGGTTTTTAAACCCACCGCTTAAATTTAGGGTGAAGTAAACACCCATGTTGTGCACACACCACACACTTACCTGCCTCTGGTAGCGGGGAGGGCGAGTGCCAGCGGGTGAAGCGGTCCCTGGGCTGTGGGGGCAGGGGAGCTGGTGCTTCTCTCTGCAGCAGTGGCAGCCTCCCCCAGGCAGCACCTGCCCACAGGCACCCAGCTCAGGTGGTCCCGTGGGGCACCGCAGCCATGGAAGGAAGCACTGGGCCTCTGCCCAGCTCCTGCAGGCAGGCAGGCTCCAGGGGGGGGAAAAAAATCAGGCTTGCCACTTTTCTTGGGCAGAGCCTGCCTTCCCAGCCTGCTGCCAAGCTGTCTGCAGGGCTTGCTGTAGAGCTGCATGGAGTCTGGTGCTTCACTCTGCTGCTCTAGGGGTTTTAGCTTGCTTTAGCCTCTGAGGAGTTTTAGTTTGCTTTGCCCCAAGTCATTTAAGGTGCATTATGCCACTGAATTTCCTACAGTGGCTGGAATTAATGCACAATACACCGCCGAGGTATGCAAACACTGACACCATTAAAGCTGTTCATCTATACACGGCCTATAACACCACCTAACATGCCAGTTTTAATGTGGTTTAAGTGTAATGTGCACCTTAAGTCTTAGAATCCTGAGAACATTTTTTCACTTACTGCCATTATCCTTTAGGGATAAGAAGCAATATGGCTGGCTTAATAGAGATAATGAAGAAGCAAGCAAAGATTAAATCCTGCTGTTGAAGATGGTCTGTTTTCATTATTCATGGAGAGAGAGAGAGAGAGAGAGAGAGAGAGAGAGAGAGAGAGAGAGAGAGAGTGTGTGTGTGTGTGTGTGTGTGTGTGTGTGGTCACATAATGAGGTGATTCAGAGGCCCTTGAATAGAGAACAAGCCTGTCATATCCAAGATCTCATGATCACAGCAAGCTTCTGATATGTTAAGAAAATGCAGCCAAATAAGGGGCCAGTAAAAATGTTGGGAAAAGAGGGTGAGAGAAAGGATATTAACAGTATAACCAGATGAAAAACAAGTAAACAGGTAGCAAAAGAAACAAATGGCACATAGTGGGTGTGTCTACACAAGATGCTACGGTGCTGTAGTGCTGTGCTATGGCACCATAGTGTCCATTGGCAAAAAACGTACCACTGCCACTACATTGCCATAGCAACACACTCCCTTATTATAGCATATTGCTACAGCAACGTAGCAGCCAAAAATAACCAAGCACAACCAGCACAGCTCAGCATGGGCTGTTACTGTGCCATCTTTTAGCACTTCCAAAAGGAAGTGCCAAATGACAGTTCAGGAACAAAGATGCCATATGGCTATGTGTCAGTGCACCCAATTATGATGTTCACTGAGTCTGTGGCACTTCAAAGAAATTTGAATTTTGGTGGCTTGGTCTTCTTGTAGGTGTTTCCAATTCATGCCACTATTTGTTCCAACATAGTCATTTGCAGCTCTGATTAACCTTCTTTGTAGAAAATGGGCATTTCTTCAGCACCTATATTTGCATCTATTTTGTACGATTTTTGCTGTGTGCTTACAGGTTAGCTGTTTTTTTCTTTATTAGATATGATATCCATGCTCAAGAATTCCACACCTGTTTACTCATGGCTTTTTTTCCTAAAGGGTAACTTTAGATTGACATGTGCAAATACATAAACAGTTTCAGACTTTGAACAGAAGACTTTAAACGAGTGAACCAATTTTATCCTTTTTATTTAAAAAACAGTATTAACTTTTAGTTCTTTGAAAAGCCAGTAAAACTCAGTTTATGTGGCCTTTAATATCACATTCTGTATATGATTTCCAAATGCCAAGAAGGAAAAAGTATAAATACTAAAAAGTTTGCAACCAGCTTCTCTTCCCATATTTCTATTTTTGTACAAACAATTGAGTTTTCCTGCAAAAGTAGAGTTATGTCTTTTTGATTCTTCAACTATAAACTCTGCATTTTTGGATATTTGAGCCAGTTATTTTGGAAGGATGTCTGAGGGTAGGGAGCAAAACAGGTTTTCATAAGGCTTCCTAGGTTTTTAACAACTGTTTTCTTTCTTCATAACTTTTATCACAGCAACTCCATACACACCAAAGATAGGAACACAGAAAAGTTGCAAAGACAAGATGTGCAGAACATAGTAATCCTGGGAGAACATTCTTCTCTTTTTTCCCCCCCTTCAAAGTTTTCTTTTCACTGGCAGTGATAAGGTTTATCTGTTCTGAACTCCTGCAATTAAAACACAGCAGGGGAAAGTTGAAACATTTTGGAGAGCAATGCAAGTGGTATTGCAAATGAAAAGATATACTTAAAATATGGACTACCTCCAGTGCACAAAAAAACATACTCAGGACTGTAACTGTTGCTATAGTAGTGACTGCAAATGTATGTTTTCATAATCAACTCCTGTTCTTAGGCATTTATAAGTTTACTAAATATTTTTTTTCTTTGGATGAAGTTTAACATGCACACCTCAGTTAGCAGACACATTTTGGGGTGAAATTCAAACAACATAGATTGGTTTTAAAAAAAAAGACTAGCATATATTATGTTGATAGACTATGTACCACACATTAGCACATATTCTGAAAGTTTCTATTACCATTTGGATGACTGTATAACTCATTTATGGCCTTTCCAGCCATGAATAAAGCAAACCATCCTTAATATGATACCCCCAGCCATCTTAGGCTACAGATTTGAGAAAATGTATAAGTTTAAATAAATAATTCTCTTGGTACACTCTGTTTGTATCTCTCAGCTTATAAAATTGGGTTGCCTTGGTTACAGGCAGTCAGTTGTTTTTCTGACACACAGCACACATCAGAATAACTCCATTTAAGTCAGTGAAGTTACAGAAAAGTAGATCTTGTATAACTTAAATCAAAAGATGACTACTGAATTTTCAAGAAAGAATTAAAGCATTTCTAAAGTAGGATTTCTATAAATAAAGATTAACAGGATTTTTAGGTTAATTCTGAGCTAGCCAAGCTAGATATAAATATATTGATCACCAGAAACAGAATTTCTTGTTCTCTAGTGAGCAGAAAGCATGAATTTGTAGTGACAACACTTGTTTGATGCCAAAGCTGACCTTCAGGTTGTATGCTGAATATAACACGTCCTGGACATTGCACCAGTGTGAAATCCCAAGCCCTCCTTTTTCCTGGTTTAGGATTTTTACTGTTGACTTCAGAGTGGCCGAGGTCTGGCCAGTGCTGGGGGTTTTCAGAAAAGCCATCTAAGAATTTAAAGGCAAATGTAAACAGAAGAAGTCCTTATTCAGTTCCCAGTGGGGTGATTTCCAGACAGCCAGTGTGGCAGCACAGGTTAGGACAACTCTTCACTGTATAAGTTGAGTACAAGATGAACAGACATGGAAAAACAGTCCCTGAGTGCCTTTACAAATTAAGGCCCATTTAATCCAATGGCTATTAAATGCAAAATGAATAAATGACCTTGGGAACAGAATCCAGGGTGCCCTCCCAGACCAGTGCCCACCTCACTTCCCCTCTTGCTTGTTTTCCTTCTTGTATCAGGACTCTTACATTACTTTCTGCACAGCAGACCAGCTTCAACAGGAGGGATGAAAAATGCCCTCAGCCCTGCCTAGCCCATAGCCTGGTCATTACTATAAAGTACTGGGAAATGGCAGGTGTGGATTCAAACCCATACAGGCTAAGGAGGTGTGGCCTATAAAACAGGTCGCACACTTTCTGGACAAGTATCCTCACCACTGGTCTGTTGGCTCTGCTCTTGTGCTCAGCTGCATTCATGGTCTCAGCTTCAGATGGTCACTTACCATAGTTTTTCTCTGCTGAAGGAATTGGGGACTTATGCAGAGTTTATGCATTTCCGAATTAACTGGAAAATGGACTGCCACCGAGCTTAGGTGAAGTTGGATGCATAGGTGGCAGTTCTGGATAACTTCTGAGCATGTGAAGTATCCCAGCTCCATTTACCTTGAGATTCTTTCAGATCAAAATAGAGCCACATAAGGAATTAGGTGTCCTAGTAATTTTAGGGCTGCTGTGTGGCGTAGAACACGTTCACACTTAGGGACATAAATGTCTAAAAGCTGAATAAAGGCCACCTAGGTTGTGTTAGGGTTAGAGCCATGGTTCTCAAACAGGGTGCCACAAGCCTCCCATGAGCCCTGCCCTGCCCACTCCTCTGCATTACGGTTCTGATCAGCCTAAGCAAGCTGGAGCTGGCCAAGCTGTTGGGCTTTTTTGGTTTAGCTCAGCAGTTCCCAAACTCTGGGTTGCAACCCCAAATGGGGTTGCAATATCAGCAGATGGGGTCATGGGGGTGGGGAGCTGTGGGTTGGGAGTGAGGGGCCATGCTGAGGAAATGGGATCATGCTGAGGAAATGGGGCCATAAATGGGGTCATGCTGAGGAAAAGTTTGGGAAGCACTGGTCTAGCTCTTCTCATGCTCCTCCAGGGAACAGAGGTGCATGGGGCAGGGAAGGGCTGCCCAGACAGGGAAGGGCTGCATAGCTTGAGGCAGCTCCTGCCTGCTTTAGGCTGATCAGGGCTCTAATGCAGCAGAAGCATACACACATGCCAAAGCCCTTCCCAGGCTGGCTGTGCAGCAGTTGTGGGGCAATTTTATCTGAAGGCAGCATGACCCAGGTGAGAAGCATTGAGGTAAAGTGAAACAGCAGCAAGAGTGGTCCTCAACCAGGGAGGCTGCCTCATTCAAAAAAGTGGTGGAGCTGTGCCCTAACCCTGAAATGGTTGAGAACCACTGGGTTTGAATGTGGTTGTAGCTGTGATGGTCCAGGAAATGTGTGAGAAGCAAGGCTTTTTGGTGACATCTTTTATTGGGGCAACTGTGTAGTTGACAGAGATGCAGAGGAGGATCTGGGCCTCCATGTTATTTTTTGGCTTAATTTGTGGCATGATGAGAACATGATCAGGGCAGAAAAAGGGAGAACTGACAACCCTTTAAAATATATTTTTTAGTATTGGAAAACAGCAGAGCCACCTAATGTAGAGTTGTGAATACCGTCAGTTCCCCCTAATTAATATCCCTTGCTTACTGTGTATTTGCCTGTGATGTCCTTTGCTAGTCTGGCATCCACTTCTACAGGAGTAAGAATGCCCTCTCCTGTATTCCTTCCTGGGAGAAAAGTCACCATTTTATTTTCATTGTATTTTGTCGTATCCAACAGTATTTTGCTTAGTACTTTGGTTCTTTCAGCTTCTACACTCAGTTTGAGTGTAAGAGGAAAGCGACCTGACACAGAGGTAAATCTGCTTCTCACAGGGAATTCCTTGACAAGTAGTTATTCTTGCTCTACGGGAATCCCGACTGCTCAGTGCCTCAAACTGAAGACAGCTCGTTCAAGTTACTGCTGAGAGTTAGCATTTGAAGACTTCTTCCTGACTTGAAAGAGCTATTTCAGTCAGAAGCAGGTGGTGGTTGCCCAGTGCCCTCATATCCATTTCTGTCTGAAGTGCTGTGTTATGAAATATACAAGTACAATGATTTTGAATGTGCTATATCACAACTGGAGAGAGAGTATTAAACAAAATGGATCAGAGCTGAGCATCAGTACAGGGCAAGAAAAGGATATTACAGGGTCAAAGAGCATGAATTAACAGTTGTAAACCAGAAAGAGAAATTTGCCCAAAAACGATGAATTAAAAATATGACAAATTAGATTTGGATCACAGACAGTCTAACAGATACAATAGAAAATTGCTGTTAATGCCTGTAAAATGCTTTGCAGATATAAAGTGCTTCAGAAGGCATAAAAAAGTCAATAAAAGAGGAAAGGAGGAAGAATAACAAACATGACTATTGACTATCTACAGCAGTAAAAGTGAAGGAAATTTTCTGTGGTCCCTTGGGAGAGAGACTTTCTGTGTGCTTATATACCTACTTGAGATCCCTGATCTTGCTTGTGGTTTCTGACTACTGTCACAATAAAAGGCATCATCATCATCATGCTGAAATCCGCTGTTCACTAGAGTATTCTAGTTCAAAACATTAACATAGTACATGGGTAAGTAGGAGGCTGGGCCCCTATCAGCTTCCTGGCTCTCATTCAGGAAAGTATTCTTACTCAGAGCAGTATTTGTGTTTCTGTTTAAATGCCAACCTACTTGGCATTTGGTTTTAAGAGCATAAGTATAGACTTAAAATGTGCTTACATGCTTATTTGATTTGGGACCACTATGCCCGGATGCCCTCTTTCCTAGGTGAAAGAGGCACTCATACTACATAAACAGGTGCAGTACCTATAGCAGCAATTCTCAGCCATGGTTCTGTGGCACCCTGGGGTACCTTGAGATCCTTTCAAGGGTGCCAAACAATATTAGAACTGTTAGGTGTGCAAACATGATTTACATGATAAATTTAAAATTTTCAAATAGGAATTCATAGTGTTATAAAGATTCTGACCTGTTGTGGTCTTTTTGAGTTCTTTGCAACAGAAGAACTGCTCTATTTTTCTGTAGTAAAAAATGAGTGAATATTAAGAGATGGCTTTGTCCAAGGAATGTCTTGAGTTCTGATCCCCAAAGGGAACTTATAAAACACCTTTTGTAGATGAGCCTACAAACTTCAATTCATAAATCTACTGGATACAAAAAACCATGGACTCAATATAAACATTGGATTTATAACACATTACAACCTGCCTGGTATCTGATATGCCAGGTACCTGCCAGACCTGACCTCTTATACTTTTCTTTTCCCCCTTTCCTCTTTTCCCCCTTCCTCCCCTTTTCTCCCCTGCTTTTCTGCCCTTTGTCTTCCTAATTTCCAGCTATTTACTTTTTCACAGGCAGCCTCTTTTCTACCTTGAAAATCTACTCTGTAGAGTCTCCCTTACTCACCTTTGGCTTTCTTTCTTCCCTCATTTTTCCCCCCTCCCTCCTCTGCTCCACCCTTTATTTTCCTAATTTCTACCTATTTACATTCTCATACATAGCTTCTTATATTCCTTGGAGTCTCAGAACAGCAGAGACTTCCTATGTCTGAAGAAAGGTGATTGCTCCCATAAGCTTGCAAAAATTTTTTTTCGAACTACTCAATTGGTCTAATAAAAGATATCACATCTACCCAAAGAACCTTGCCAGCCTTGAGTCTAACAAGCAGTGTGTTGAGTTTAAAAAGGTTGAGAATCAGTGACCTAGACAAAGAGCAAGGTTTATACTCTGCTTTCCCTCCAGTATATGGCAGCAGGGAAATTGCGCCTACCCCCAAAAATAAATGTAAAAATTAATGTAAGTAATTCTACATTAGCTTCTTAAATATAGTGATACTTTTTAAATAATGAGAGCAGCTATTTAATGAGATTGTAATGATTCTATTCACACCAGAATTATTTTGTCTGATCACAGCAGGTCTGTATTTAGATCATTGCGTCTGTAAGACATTTTTTCCTGTGTTAATTTTTCAGGACTTTGATTTAATTACAACAAGAAATGTTAAATACGATTGAACTTTTGTTTTCATTAAAGCTTACTATGCTCCTGTTTTTAAACACATCTCTTTAAACAAGTTCAAAATTTTACATGAATCCAAATGCTTATTTATCCTTTCTTAAATTGTTTATTTCTTCTAGTTGCTTGTTGGTATCATGGCATTCCTGAGCGGATTGTTAACATTAATGCTTCCAGAAACTCTTGGAAAACCATTGACTAATACTTTGACGGAAGCTGCAGAAATGGGAAGAAAGCAGGACATCAGTTCAGAAAAGTCCCCTCCAGCAGAGAGTGGTGTGATGTTACAAAAGATAGAGATTCTTAGCCAAGAGACACAAGGCATCGAGAAATAAAGCAACATCAAAATTGTTATCATCGGTTTAAGTTACCATTAATTTTTAAGGTCATTTTATTACAGTCTCTGACCATCTTACTAATATATGTGCCTTTTCATGTGTATGGAAACTTGCCTTTTCAATATAAGAATAAAAATGCCTTATGATGACAGGAGACTTTAAGGAACTAGGAAATTTTTGAGGGCACTTTCAGAGCTATTATGAAACTTAATCTTTAAAAATTGGGTTATTTTATCTTAACTGCTTGCAGTGACTAGCATTGATTGTGGAAGGTTTTTTATGGATTCCCAAAACATTTTCATTCTGTGCTTTAGATTTTCCTTAGCCATGTTTTTAATCTCATGATAGAATTCCCTTTCAGTTCCTGTCATATTACAACTGGGGGGAAAAAAAGTTTTGTGACTTTGTAAGGTAACTCCAAGCACAGTGTCATAATTCAGTTTACGGTTGCATCAAAGCATGGCAATAATGTGAAAGTTTAAACATATCTATACAATTATGTTTTTCACATTTGCTTTGAGAAAAATGCCATTGACGATAAAGAAATTATGATGTTTGCAACTGAAAAAAGTCTACATTTCCAAAAGCAAATAATAAGCAAACTGCTTGTTCTGTTGAATTGCAATGATATTTTTATTAGTACATTAGAGAAATGCTGCTTATTGACTCCATTGTAGTTTTTTTTGGTCTATGTTGTACAGTTAAAACCTGACATCTTTAACAATTTTATTCATTCCAGACTATTATATGATACCTCCACGTTTATTGTAAGTTTTTTTAAAAGCCTGTAGGGTAGTACCAACACCTTTGCAAAATGCCTGCACAGGGGCTATTCATTCCTTAAGTTTTCAGAATAGTAGAACTTAAGTCACACACAGGCCCTTTTACACACAGATGTATCTAGCCCTTAGGGTTTATTTAATGTATACCTGTTAGACTTGATAGCAAAATATTATCTTTCTTATAAGCCATCTACCTGTAATCTCCTCTTTTTGTTATTCTGAACAGAGTAGCAAAGCATTTAATCATAGTTTGGGAAAAACTGATTAGTTATTAGAAATGGATGGAAATGTCACAGAGTCCTGCAGATGCCTGTAAACATCCCTCAGTCACTGTACCATTTGCATATCAGCTGTCAGTGTTGAATCTGTACAGCTGAGTGGTTCTTAGGGAGAGGGGCCACAGAACATGTCAGTTCATTCTAGCTGCTGTTTTCATGGCTTCCTGTTCTAGTCCCCTCTTTTTAGTTTACCTTTAGAGCTTACTGTTTCTCCCTTCTGTGCATTTGAAGTTATTGGGGAGAAATATTTCACATAGGCCATGGCTGATATTTTGCCCTCAGTTATTTCTGCACAATCTCACTGGCTTGATGACATCTGAAAGCATAAAACATCTCAATATCTCCATGCCATCCTAGTGAAAACAAAGCATCTCATTTCAATTGAAGTTCTGTCCTGGACTTCTGAGTAATGTTCTGGGTCCAGGCTAAGGACTAACTCAAGTCCTAGGTGGAGAAAACACATGTTTAATAGCCAAGACAATCAGCAAATCAAAGTATAGGCAGTATCTATGGAATAATTTTGCATAAAGCAGAAAGTGGGGTTTTGCTTCCCTTGCTACACCCAGGAAAAAACACAGTATTCAGGGCATGCATGAAGAACTGTGCTTCTATCTGCAGACAAAGTCTGATATTAATTTGCAAAGCACTTGAGCACATGCTTAACAGTAAAACCTTGAGCAATCTCACCTCTATGCAGATAAAGGTATGTTTTGCTAGGTGGGGATACTTGCCTGCTTGAACATTTTGCTGAATTGGGAACCAAATGCTCTGGCACTGATACTTGGTCCCCTTCCATTTTGCATGGCAGAATAGCTGCTTCTAATCCCTTTCTTCCCCATGCAAAGGTGTTTTACAGTGCAGGAAGGGGGACAGCAGTAAGAGGAAATAAATTGATTTTTTCTGATTTTATAGCAACCAGTACTGTGGCTGGGTCCTTTTACAGGACCAGTGCCCTTTCTTTGGAGTCCACGGGCCACTGTAAAATAATAACTTGAAGATTAAATGTACAGAAACTAACCCAAAAACACTGAGTATTTGCAGGACATTGCCGTGTATTTGTAACAAAGAAATATGAATTTCAATTCTGCCATATATGTGAGTACAGGAAAAAACCACTTAGGGCTGATCCTGCTCTTACTGAAGTCACAACAAGTCATAAATTCCCATGACTTCAGGACCAAGCCCTTAATCAAATTATGTAAAATAAGGAAAGAGACAAAAGCCATAACTTGGAAATGCTTGAGTAATTCTTAGGGACTGCCACTTGAATGCTATCTCTAACAGAACATGCAGCGTGGTGGTAGGTGCAAGTGTCCAGGCAGGAAGGAGCACAAGCAACAGAAAGTTATATCTCCAAGTCTTTTGAAGTAAGAAAGGTAAGTATGTTATGGATATAAATAGGAAGATCCCCAGAAACTGAGCATGCATAACTTTTACTGAAGTGATGCTTGGATGCTAAATTTTGTCTTAAAAATGTTTCAAAAGTTTGGTGCTGAATCTGGATCAACATATATGCATTTTACATAAGGAGGCTAGAGAATTTTAACAAAGTAATTACTGTATTGATCACAAGTTGTTAAATTTTCATGGGGATTTACGTAACTAAGTCCCACAATGGAGGTACCACTGGGATTCTCTAAACCCTCATGTAGCTGCTCCTTAATCCTCAAGGTGCCCAAAGTCCCAGGGCACCCAAGTCACCACTGATAGAAATCCTTAAGCACCAATATTTTTGCCTGTGGGCATGCACACCACCTGAGGGCCTGAGCAGCTCAGTACCTAAGCCTAAGGCATGTCTCCATTTATCATACCTTTGGCATCCAATCCAACTGGATCAGACAGTGCACAAAAAGAGACGAGGAGGCAGATTTAGATCCAAGAATTGTGGACAGTGGGATACCCAGTTCCTTCCCAATTTGGATCACAGATTTGAGCCCAAATTTCCACCTGGCAGGTGGGTGTTTTAAAAACTGAGCTATTGGGTGTTGGGTACAGGTGGGTGGGTGTCTCTACCTCTTTCTGTGAGCAGATTTAGTTAAGGTGCCTAATTCCCTGAGAGAGGAGCAGCTTAGTCTTTGTCCCTTTCCTCAGCACTTCATATTGGTGCTTAAGAAACATCCCCATACACAAAGACAAACTGTTCACTGGCTTCTGTGAATGAAATTCTTCAGTGCCTACCTCTCCCAGTGATACTGGGGGAATCTTGAGAGCCACGGCCTAATGAAAGGTTATGGATTTCAGTAGGTAGTACAGTGTCCAAATGTTAGGCACTTGAACACTGTATATTGTAACACCCGTATTCCTTTTTCATATAGCCTTTACAGCCAATCCTAGTACCACTGAAGTCAATGGGAATTTAATATTTGATTCTAATAGGACCAGGATTTGCTCCACAGTGGGCATGTCTACACAAGACTTTTTACTGCACATTAAACGAATGTGCAATGGAGCATCAGCATCTCCTTGTGCATGGGACTCACTGCACAGTAAATTAGGCTAATGCACCATTTGCTAGTATCAGGAAATACAGGGCACATTAGCTACTGCACAGTAGTGCATATGTAAATACTGACCAGAAGCAATTTGCTCCCATTCAGTCCAGGCAGCAGGGAGCTCACTGTTGCCTGGATAAGCCCTGATGTGGGAGGGAGCTGTGCCAGTCGCCTTGGACAATGGGACTGCTGTGTCCCAGTCACGTGGAGATCAGGTCAGGACACGATCCCCCCGTGACTGGGGAAGCATTCTGCTCATGGAGCATGGACAGCTGTCCCAGCCATGGGGTCAGGATTGGCCCCTGTGCCCTCTGCCAGCCCCAAGACTGCCACCCAAGGGAGCCTGGAGCTCCCCCTGGTGGCTGCAGGGAGGAATAGCAGGGCTGCTCCTGTCAGACATGATTTGCTCTTGATGGGGGCACACATGTAGACATGCACCCCAGAGCACTTTAATGAGCCTTAATCTTCTGAGAAGAAAATTCAGGCACATTAATTGCATGTATAGATGCACCCAGTAAAGTAATCACATTTTTCACTGGAAATGAATGGTTATCTAGCTCAGGCAGTGTGTTGAGCTGAAAACCACAAGATTAGTTGTTTAATGGCGGAAAAGAGCTAGCTTCTTTTGAATTCATATGTGTATTGCTTTGGGCACATCTGAATTCTGAGCATTCCATTCTTTCAACTGAAGAGGTAAAGAAGAAATATTTTACTAAAGTAGGGAAACCACAACTGTGTTACGTATCTCTCTACAGCATTTCAGAAAAGTGTTCGCTTGAAATGATTTGCTGACCAAAACTTGTTTAACACTTAAAGTACATTAGAAAGATGACACAAAAGAAATGCAGAGAAATGCAGAGAAAGTATTTCTTTTTTAAGGGTTTTTTTCAAGCAATCTAAGTCTTCTAGTCTTGAGAATGATTGTTTCTGTTACTTTGTGACATATTTTCCTCCTAGCAATCATGAAAGCTTTCTGTTAAAAAAAACCCTCTTATTTTTTTTCCATAAACTTACTAGTATCTGCATTTGAGTCAATTATCTTATTGCAAATGTATAGTTCTAATTAATGGTTCTGAATATCTCTGAGGTTTCATAAGATAATTCTTTGATGGTTGGTCATTGTAGCTGCAATATAAAATAATTATATCTTAAAATTGATATAGTATTGTACCATAAACACTGTGGTTTATCACGGTAGTACTTGTAAGGTTCAACAGATGAATGGCTGGCAATAATTGACATTTGTTCAATTCTAATAAGACTTGTTAATATAAGTGAACATATCTGGTCTTTTAAATTGAATATTTTTTAAACTAAGCTTCAAGATGTATTTTCTAATTGAAGGTTTTTAATTTATTTGTATATGATCTTAAAGTTTCAGTTAACTCTGTGGGGGAAGAGCAGGGCAAACTGTGTGCACTCAATGCCAGATGCCAATGCGCTGAGAGTCCAACAAGTAAAAGAATCCTCCCTAAGGCAAGAGAAGTGCTGTGTGGCAGCTTCCTAGAAACTGGAGAAGGCCCCATATTTGTAGGCTTGCAGTGAGAGGACTGAAAGATTTTTTGCTCCTCCCCCTCTTCACCTCAACAGCTCAGGCCGTGCTCTCATGCCAGGGACCCTTCATGGAGATCGGCTTTGCAGCAAACCAGGGCTGTACAGCTTTTTTTTTTTTATGGCCTTCCAAACTCGGAGTCACCTTGCACAAGATCCTCCACTCTGGTTGCTGAGATAGAGGGTCTAGATTTGGCCTACATGCATGTGCCAAATGTACCCCTATGATAGTTGCCTGAATCCCCTAACCAGTAGTAAAGACAGAAACTAAACAAAAGCTCAGAAGAATAATTATGAATTCAAACATTAGCAAGTTTTTCTCTGCTTTCAAGGTAAATTCCTGTTGAGTCTGCACAAGCTCTCTATTGTTGAATCTCTCACAAGATGAGGTTAGAGTAAATCCAAGCACTAGTAGGTTTGTTCTAACAATGTCTACACCAGGAAATACACATGCTTTGGTAACATCTGAGTGGTATACCATATTTTCTTGGATACAACATGCCCCAGAATAAAACTGATGCTTTGTTTTTGAAAGGCATAGTGAAGAAAAAAAGATTTTTTCCAAAAGCCAAAACCTTAGATGTTGCTTGAAGATTGGTCTCCCTGGGTAGACCTCTGATTTTGAAAAGAGCTTCAGACCTGCAAAATAGAAGGAGAGAGATCAGGAGCAGCTAGCAGACAGCAAAATTGGCCTGAGAAAGGTTATCTTGATTTGTGGAACATGAAGACCGTTAAACAAGGAGAAATGATCATTAATACTTGTGAAGAACAATAAGCCACTGAACTAAAGTGACCCCCTCAACTGCCTAAATAGTAATGCCACTGCTGCTACACTCTTGAGGAGGAATCAGAGTGCAGTGCTTCTACTCTGGGCAGAAAATCAACTTCCACGTTTAATGTGCACCCTAATTTTGGGGAGCTGATTTTTGCAGAAAGTTGCATATGCTATGTAAGTAAATATGGCATATACTATTCTAACTAATTTTACCCACAGAGCACACACAGATTTAATCAGAAATGTATTATAAAGGTAAAGGAATTTTGTTGATCCCTTATGTATTTCTCATCTCAAAGTATGTACACCAATAAAGTGGAAAATTCATTATTTGATCTTTAAATAGCTTCTGAGGCAGTTGTTTGATTCTGTTTTTCTACTGTGTCTTCATTGTATTCACATGCATTGGTGTTATAAACTCGCTCACTATCACCTGCAATTTTCCTGGGGTGACTCGCCATAGTTGGGATTGAATGTTATCATTTAAATCTCTCTTTGCCATTTATAGTTACAGATGCAAGCCAAGATGTTATTACAGTGTCAGCTGGTGGCTACACAAGCTTTTCTAATTGAATATTAAGTGGTGACTTTTTTGCACTCCAGCTGTGGGACATTTTTTTTTTTATACTGCCCTCTGTCTGCCAAGAACTTGACATCGTAGACCAAAGGCAACAGTGAGAAAAATGCCTCTGCGTGTTATAGGATGACTGTAAATTTGCCAGAAAACAGCGTAAGTGCTTATAGACGTGTGCGATTTATATGAATTTGGCATTCAGAGGGTATGGATAACATCTGTAACTTCTCCATGGAGAGGTAGGAATCAGGAATAGCACCTAATGGGATGGGATAAGAAAAAGCAAATGGTTTACCTGTTTTTCATGGAATCCTTTGTTAGTCTCCCACAACAAGCTATGCTTATTTTTCACTTTCTGTACGTCAAAATGGTACAAAGTATATTGCTTTCCAGGGATACATGCTTTTAATTATTCATATATTCTGATCATGTTACAAGTCACGTAGCTAACATTTTAAGTGATGTTGGCTAAATTTAGTTGTTAATAGTTTTCCCTGCTTTCAAAATATAATTTAGTGGGAGTTCAGTGCAACTCTGACCTAAACTGTAGTGGCAGAGAAAAAATTGTCTACTAGATATAAATATGTTAAGTAAAGCAACTATCCCATAGCCTGTTCACAGGCGTATTTACTAAATAAGACTTGATTTTCCTGTCACGCTCATCTTACACCTGTAACTCCACTAGCTTCAACCACATTACTGATCATTTACATCATTTTAAGAAAGAGGAGAATCAAGACTCAATCAGAAAAATGCTACCTGAAAGACACCAGGATGCTGACAAATACAGAATAAGAGAACGTACCATATTTACTTGAATCTATGATAAGGGTTTTCACTCTAATCAACATGGGGGAAAGCCCCTTGTCTTAAATTCACATACAAAGTGGGGGGGGGGGGCTGGTGGCAGGTGGCTACTACAGCTCTGGCCCTGGTTTAGGGTCAGAGACTTAGACCCATAGCAGCTGCCTGAACCCCTCTCTGCTTGCCCTCTCCAGTTTCTGCCCTCTTTTCCCCCTCTCCCCCTTATTGTTAGGTGCAGCTTGGCTCAGCTCAGGCTGGATTGCCTCCTGGGTATGAAGCACACAGAACCTCCATCCCCCACCCAGCCAATCAACAATGCCAATGTTGCTGCATGGTTTGGCAAGGTCTGGGTTTCTACATACTGTGTTCTGTGACCTGGGATGGAACAGCTCCAAGCAGCATCTGGCAGTAAGCAGGGGATGACACAAGGGACAAAGGCTCTGGGGAGTAAGGGGAGAATGGGCAAAGGCTGGGGGGAGCTGGGAGTGAGAGGTTCAGGTGGGGGGGGGCGGCAGGAAGGCTGCAGGGAGGAAAAAGGGGAGGCAGAAGGCAAGGGGGCTGCCCCATCAGCCACCAGACCCCTCCACTGCTTTTCCTACTGTTGCGGGGAGAGGGCACAGGTGAAGGAGAGGTAAATTTATAGAATAGAAATCAAT